ATCTCTAGATTTGCTTGTCCACATAGAAGATTATAGTTGTTAGAAGGCCATCCCTTGTCATAGTTGTACCACACCAATTTTAGTCATCATTTACTGACTGATTCTTTGTTCCTGTTCTGTATGTCTTAGATTTCAGCAAAGTAAATACCCAGACAGTTTTGTCCGCTCTGGCCCTGGCTGCAGGAGACAGATACTGTCGGTTTTATCACTGCCTCAGAGGCAGAAGGGCTCATTTGCTGCCTCTGTTTTATATAAGTATTGTTGTGACAGCCCTAACTGACCCAGGGTCATTTCCTGTACAATTTATGTACTGTAATGTAACTCGCTGCTTAACTACCATAACATAATTGGAGAAACTAACCAACTAGTCATGACTGTTTCCCAAAACCATAGTAACATAGTGGCACCTCCATAGTTTGAACCACATTGGTTCAACAATATAGGAATGACGTTACACAATTTATGACATCACACGCAAGTGGTGAAATCGTAACTAATGCTAATTAACTGATTCTAGATGTCTGAGATACTGCTATAACGAACTCTGCACCTGATGACTAGCTTCAATATTTTTTTTTGTTTTGCATTATTTTATGATTGATTCATTGTGGATTCTCTTTTACATCATACTTCAGGTTCCCTTATGCATTTATGCACATGCACACTCTTTAAAAACACTGCTGATTGTTGACACACTAAAATATATAGATTGAAACACATTCAAATAGAATGAAAGAAATGTAATGTAATGCATGTTTGCTTGCTTATTGTTCCCAAGAGCACAATCTATTTAAATCCAAAAGTCTTACTAACAAGAAACTATGTTTCCAACCACAGGTCGAGAGCTGTAGTTCCTACCATGTAAGTTTGCGATGCTGTGAACGTTCATTTGAACTATGGTTTCGGGAAACACAGAATCATTGAACTATGTTGGTAACAACTGAACTTGCGACCATAGTTGGCTAACAATGCTTTTGGCAAATGTACCCCAGCCAGGTTGGAAGGAAGGAATACAAAAAAGAGTAAAAGTTAAATAGGAGAAGACCTTAAACTATTGTTTTCTGCTTTTCCTGATATTATTAGGGGGCATTTTTACCTTCATGTGGTCATTGATTTTCCTAACCATATTAAAACAGGAAAGTGTTGTCCATTTACATAATTTAATTTCTCACTTCCTTTTCCCATTCATTGAAACAAATTCCCAGTATGAAAAATTGTAGCTGTTACCTTGACTCAAACCTGTCAATTCAAATCAACATCAAATTGGGCATTCCAAGACATAAAAACAGCTAGACAAGTACGAAAGCACCCTAAACCACCTTTGAAACTCATTGTGGTCTAAACTGGTCTTCTCAGCAGGAATGTGTTTCAAGTTTGCTTTCTCACCGACCAGCCGATTTCCTTCAGTATTGCACACTGGGCTTCAGCTTCATTCAAACTGTATGAATGGAAATAAGTAGAAAACGGTGGTGATGTCAGAATTCCTGGTCTTATTTCAGCTGGAGCGGAGGCGTTTCAGCAAGTTTGGGCAGTAACATGTGGACGTTCTCCAGAGCCACTCTCTAACTGGATCCCCTTTTTTCCACGGCCTGATTCTTTCCATCTTGTGCAGATTCAGGACTGATGGGCACAGCAGAAAGCTGAATGGGAAAGTCTGCTTGAAGTCTTTTAAAGCGTCATTTAAAAAATTACTTCAAAGGTTTTTGACCCACTTCAGTAGGACTTAAGTACAGCTTCATATGCAATTTCGTAATTAATTCTCTTGTCTTTGACATATGGTTGAAGTGTACAACCGAATGTACTGACATTTATAGTAAACTAAAATATCCTGTAATGTCATTTCTATTGAAACTTACACATTTGTAATGATGAAGCTGCAATTCACTGCCTTTCAAATATATTAACTTTAAATGTAATACTGAATAACACACCAGAGTTTATAATCAAGTACATGTGCTTTAGTATGCTCAAAATAAGTGTAGTTTGAAGCACTACAAAACATTATTAAATAGGTACTTGAAAGTTAAACTGAAACTGACAGTATTACGAAGTGTACTTTTTCTAAGTTTAAAAAAGAGTCATGAAAAACTCTTTAAGTACACTTAAGTGGCAGTTTTTAAAAAAAATATGCTCTTAAGTTGAAGTACATTACAAGTGCACATTCATTTGCATCCTACAATTAAAAATACATCAATACAATTAAGCACACATTTTGTGTAAATTATCACACAGCATTGTTCATGCAGTATTAACATGATCAACGATGATCTAAATGAATGAGGTATTGTTTCTTATATAGAACATTTAGATATTTTACTAAACAATATAAACATATGATAAAGAAATTACTTTTTGATGTTCGCTGGACAAACACATCATTGGATGTCATGCTTCACTGGCAGTCTGTGAGAACATTGAACAAATATCTGATTGTTCATTGGAAAGACTTTTCTTTTAATCATTGTATTTTTGTATACCGACATTTAACAACCCAACTGTTAAGTCAGAGGGTGCAGTTAGTTGAACTCTTTTTCCGTTTCAGCTCTTTTTTTTTTTCATTCCATTTTATACGCGTATTCAGCAGACCCGATCTTTTTCTGGCAAGGATGCTTTCATTGCATTACAGCTCATTACACTGAATTGCCGTCCTTTTTACTCATGTGATGCAATGTATTTCCGAGCAACGCAAAATATTCAATAAGAAAATAAGGTAGAAGAGACTTAATTTTGTCCATGTTCCGCTGGGAATTGACTGGATGGGCATTACTAGAATAAAACCTTATTGCAAGTGTGCTAAAAAAAAACAAAAAACCTAATAGCCTGCACAGTCTATGTGATGTCAAAGGAAGTTGGTGATTTAAGAGGCAATAATCATTTTTAAAAATAACATGTATCAATGCACCAATGAATAGTTCTCAATAAGAGCATACAGGCGATGTGTTCGTAAAGTAAATACGGTCAGTTTTGATTTCCCCCTCCTACCTGAAAATAAATGACACATTTTGGCATTGATAAGTGGCATCTGTGCCTCCCACTCTTTGAAAATCTCTGCTCCGTCCGCCGTACACGAAGCATTATCTCACCTCCCCTTCGCCTCACGGTTAGCACGCTAGACTACGGCAGCTCATTCATACATTCAGCCTCTCTCTCGCTCACCGTCTCTCTTGCTATGACTCACACGCTCTCAGCCTTCACTCAAAGCCTGACTGCTCTCACACATTAGCAGGGCTGAAGAGGAGACCTGCAGCTACCAGGTAAAAGACATTGATGATTACCAGTCTAATCTGCTTGATTACCAGATTTCACACACTTCCACTTCCGCAGGGCTCACATTTACGGGATCATGATGCTGCTTGTCTTAAAGGGTGCTCAGCTGTCTGTATGGTTTAAGTTACGTGTTATGTTGAACTGTGAGAGTTATATATGTCTGGTTGTACAGTGTACCGGCTGACGTTGAGTCTGTGAGGCTGTGTGCTGCCCGTAGTGTACTGTGTGTGTGTGTGTTGCGAATGGCTGCCAGTACAGAAGGCAAACAAAAAGAGGATGAATGGACTGACTGTACTGCGTATGTGTCCTCCTCTACGCTGCTGCCGTATGAATGAGACTCGGGTCGGATGGATGCCGGGGGTGGCCTAGGGCTCTTTCACTGGAGGGAGGGGAAGTTTAAATCCTGGGAGATGGACAAGAACAGTGTAGATGAAAGTCACTGGAATTTGGTTGATGGCTTGCTAATATGTACGTTAGAGACTGAAAATAACAGATGTATAGAAAAGGCAAAAGACTGATTTTCTGGAATGCCTGACACAGGGTTTTAGTGAATCAACAGAGGCAGAAAGACTGCAGAGCTGAGATGCGTTGTGTTGTTTATCTCTTGTCTGCATGAGTAATGTTTATGTAATGTGAAGTTATACGAGAGATTTCGTTATGGCCATGCAGTAACTGCAGACAGAGCATTTGTTGCTTTGAAATCTCAGAAATTTCCAAAATGGTTAAAATGTGCTCTTAAGTCTCTGAGTAGCATCTGTGTGTGCATTTCATTCAATGGTTTATTTATCATGAGCTTTGCTAATTGTGGTCTGCTAATTTGGATTTAATAATAATAAAAAAATATATATTGCATTCATCTTTGCAAATTCAATCTTGCATTGAATTTAAAAATATCTGACTTTACCGTAAGATTTTGCTTGATGTTATTTTTAAACAAAACAATGAAAAGAAATACTAGATTCTGAAATTGTTTTTCCTCGTCCATCAGCTCCTGACTGGAGAGATGAGGGTTTTTGGAAAGAAAGGGGGGCACCTTGGTAACCGCCCCCTAAAGCAAAGCGTGGGTGCCAATACCAGCTGGTCAGTGAGTGGGATGCCTAATTCCTTATTGTGTTCTAGTGAAAGCAGTGTCAGAATTTATTTTCACAAGCATCAATGCTGTCTTAAATTGTGTTTTTGTTAAGAATACCAAAAAGCCCATAGTCTTCACTGTTTGTTTCAATACATTCTACTTAGACCTCTTTTTCTCTCTTTTTATTTGCACATACACAGATATTTATAGAAGCCCTAATGCCTTGTTATGTTCTTTTTAGTCCAGTTAGACAGTTTGTTTTAACCAGTTTTCTTTTAACAGTCAAAGTGAACAACTGTTACAACTGAACAGGAAGAAGGTTAGCTACAGTTGTATTAGATGTAGTTCATTTAGTGATTCAATGATGTCAAAAGTGTTGGTGCTTTAGTACCAAGCAAACTGTAACAATACCCGTCTTTCTGCATTGTTGGAAATACCAAGTACAAACTCATGCCGATAACTGCTATCTGTTGTTATAACTGACAGGTGACATCTTTCTAATGTTCACATATGTATCTGTGTGAGTGCTTTGTGTGGCCTGAAGGTTTTGAGCATTGCTACACACACGAATATAAAGTGTGTTGTGTAATGTATTTTATAAGTTTTAGTTGTAATATAGAATTGACAGTGACTAATTTTGTTGTCTTCTGATATTTCCCAGAATTCAAATCTCTGAAGTGGATCATCATAAAGCACCTGCAGAATACTGGGACTTGAGAGCATTCGTGGAAAAAACATAGTTGCCATGGATTTTCAAGGACAAGAATGAACAAGAAACAGAAGAGGCAGAATTTCCTGTAACTGAAAAACTGAAAAAAAGAAAAAGAATTGTAGTTGTATTTCATATAATTCCTTTTGAAGACGTTCTTCTCACATTAAGCAATAATGTATTCAGAATGCTCCAGTTGGGACAGATATGTACAATCCATGCATATGTTATGTGGAACAAAGTATTATGCGATGCTCTGAATGGTCATAAATTAATAGGTCATTCATACAGTGTGGAATAAACAGTACCTCAAGCTTTCATCCCATTTTATGGAGGCCTTGCATAGCCAGTTGACCACAGGGGAGCAATCTGGAGGTTTAGAAAAGCAGAATGAGACTTCAGTGGACAGCCCCCAGCCACATTCAGTCCCGCAGTATCATGAACAGAACAAGGTTGTCAAGCAGCAGCAACATGCACAACAGCAAAAACATCTTAATATTGAGAGAAAGCGTCTCAGATTACAGAGGAAAACTGCTCAGGAGACAGACACTGTTGAAGAGGAAATGTCTCCGAGGGCATCTGGAAGTTCTGGATGTCTTGTTTCTAACATGAGGGAGCCTAGTGAAATGCCATCTGGAGGTTCATCCTCAGAAGTATCAGCTATACCATCCTGTTCCACGGATGCGACCCTGGAAGGTACACCTAGACAAAAACGTGAGCGTAAACCTCAAAAGCCCGGAAAATATGTGTGCTCATACTGTGGACGTGCTTGTGCTAAGCCCAGCGTGCTTCAGAAACATATTCGATCCCACACTGGAGAGAGACCTTACCCCTGTGCACCATGTGGGTTCTCCTTCAAGACTAAAAGTAATCTTTACAAACACAGAAAGTCCCACACTCATAGGGTGAAAGCTGGTCTGACTGCAGAAACGGAGGGACCAGGTATAAGTTGTTCAGAGGAGCCACTTACAGAATCAGATGAAGAAAGCCAACCATCTTCCTTTTTAGAAGAACAAAGAATGTCCACTCAAAAGTCAGATGTCTTAGAAAAGTGTTCTGAGGGACAGTTACAAGGTATAGAAGACTCCCATGCAGTTAAAAAGAGACTTGCAATGAGACTTAGCAGAGGAAGACGAACACCTATAGGATCATCTGATGAAGCATCCTCGTCGTTTGGTCTAAATAGCAAAGGTAGCACAGAGTCTGGCTATTTCTCTCGATCTGAGAGCACGGAAGTCTCTCAAGATAGTCCACCAAACACAAGTGCCAAAAGCTATGCAGAGGTCATCCTTGGAAAGTTTGGTCGCCTTGGTCATTTACAAAGGACTGCTCGTGAACAGTATGACAATCCTGCTGGGCAAGAAGGGAAAAGAATTCCATTCACTGTGCCTAAAAAGCAAGTTATTGACCACATAACTAAACTCATCACCATTAATGAGGCTGTGGTAGACACCAGTAAGATTGACAGTGTCAAACCCAGAAGGTTCTCACTTTCTAGGAAAAGCAGCACAGAAGTGAAGCCAACCTCTTCTAAAGAGTCCTTTCTTCACAGTCCAAAAGAATTAGATTTGAGTGCAAAGAGCAGTGGTTCTATTACTCTTGGTGTACCTTGTGAGAAATTTCAGCACCATTCTCTTAGTATCCAGCAAGCTGACCCAACCACCACTGCTCCTCTTCTAAGAAGTCACTCTATGCCCTCAGATGCAGGTGTTAGTGATGTGTCTGAAACTTCTCGTAGCCTTCGCCTTAGCCAATCCTTTGATGACCAGCAGACAGTTCAGAATCGGCGTCACGGTATGCTAAGACGGCAGCCTGCCATTGAATTGCCCATAGGTGCTGAAATGACCATGGGGGAACAATCCTATTCCAGCTCACCATTCCATCCCTCAGTTTCTACAGTGCCTAATCCCAGCCTGAAACAAGAGCCATTTGAGTGTGATGCATGTGGTATAGTTTTTACTGACTGGGAGAGGTATCAAACACACAAACAGCACTGCTGCACGCTTCACATTTCTCAACAAACTGAAAGTCAAGTCTATCAAGTGGAAGAACCCACAAGAACACACACAACTCGTCCTGGTGCTTTTGCATTTAGAAAAAGAAGGAAAGAAGAGAGTATTGAACTTGAAGATCCTTCTTTACCCTCTGTTTCTTATATACCACTGAAAGGTTATAAACCACCTTGTGAACAGCCTATTAAAGGGTCCACTCAAGAACATGGTACAGAAGGTGCTTTGCAAGGAATATCTGTCATACAGCATACTAGTTCATTTGAGAAACATGATAGTGCTTTAAAAACCCCTGGACCAGATGAGGTCTCTCACTCTCATGATGTCTCTCACTGTTCTCCTGCCTCACAATCAAAGCAGCAGGCAAGTAAACCATCCTTCCGTAAACTTGTACGTCAACACAATGTCCAAGTGCCAGAAATCCTGGTCACTGAAGATTCAAACACCAACACCATGGCAGCATTACCCCCTCCAACTGTCCCCAAAATAAAGGACGTTGAGAAAGTCAGCGAGTTCCAATGGCCCCAAAGAAGTCCAACTTTAGCCCAACTTCCAATTGAGAAGTTACCACCTAAAAAGAAACGTTTTCGTCTCGCAGAAGCTGCCCAGTCATCAGGGGACTCAAGCTTTGAATCAATGTCCCTGCCTCACAGTCCAAGTCAGGACAGTTGTGTGTCTCATACCTCCAGTCGATCAACTTCATTTGAAGAGGCTTGCAAAGGTGATGCAGACACGACGCCAACTAGGAGATCAAGAGCCACTCATACTTTGACAATTCCCACAAATTCTCACCGAGAAATGAGGCGCTCTGCATCTGAGCAGGCGCCCCATGTTCCTCAACATGCTAACCTTATTACGGAAACTCGCAGTAAGTCATTTGACTACAGTAGTTTGTCTCCAGATCGAACCCCTGCAGGATGGAGAGCAAGGCGGAAATGCCTTCTAATGAGGCATAGTGCAGTGAGGGAACCTGAGGAGGAAGACCAATCTTCTAAAGCCATCAACACCAGTTCTCCCACTCGAAGGACTAACACATCGCCTAGCTATAGCCCAGGCATCTCCTACAGTCCAACCACCACCCATCTTGTGACTTTAAGCAATACTGAACACTCATTTGGTGAGAAGCAGGTCATGCAATCACAGCATGTTTTATCAGAGAATACCCAGCAGAATGCATTGCAGTTGACCCCAATGATTCACAATGATCAGCCCACAACAGTGGGAAGTCTTCTTTGTCCATCAGGTGCTGCCAGAGCTCATTATTCTTCAATGTCGACAGGACTTAAGCTTGAAATTCCAGTGGAGAATGAACTGGTGAATTCTGATACAAGGCTCAACCAACCATACCTCACTCATTATCCCCATCAGAATCTTGGTTTAAATCTCTGAAGTGGATCATCATAAAGCATCTGCAGAATAAGGCAACTTGAGAGCATTCATGGAAAAGCATAATTGCCATGGATTTCCAAGGACAAGAAAGAACAAGAAACAGAAGAGGCAGAATTTCCTCTAACTGAAAAACTGAAAAAAATTTTTTTGTAGTGTATCATATAATTCATTTGAAGAAGCTCTTCTCACATTAAGCAATAATGTTTACAGAATGCTCCAGAACTGTACAATCAATGCATATGCTGTATGGAACAAAATATTATGCGATGCTCTGAATGGTCATAAATGAATTGATCATTCATACAGTCTGGAATAAACAGTAACTCAAACTTTCATCTCATTTTATGGAGGCCTTGCATAGCCAGTTGACCACAGGGGAGCAATCTGGAGGTTTAGAAAAGCAGAATGAGACTCCAGCGGACAGCCCCCAGCCACATTCAGTCCCACAGTATCATGAACAGAACAAGGTTGTCACCCAGCAGCAGCATGCACAACAGCAAAAACAACAGCATCTCAATATTGAGAGAAAACGTCTCAGATTGCAGAGGAAAACTGCTCAGGAGACAGAGACTGTTGAAGACGGAACGTCACCGAGAAGTTCTGAATGTCTTGACACTAACATGAGGCAGCCTAGTGAAATGCCATCTGGAGCTGCACCATCATGTTCCACGGATGAGGCCCTCGAAGGTACACCTAGCCAGAAACGTGAGCGTAAACCTCAAAAACCCGGAAAGTATGTGTGCTCATACTGTGGTCGTGCTTGTGCTAAGCCCAGTGTGCTTCAGAAACATATTCGATCCCACACTGGAGAGAGACCTTACCCCTGTGCACCATGTGGGTTCTCCTTCAAGACTAAAAGTAATCTTTACAAACACAGAAAGTCCCACACTCATAGGGTGAAAGCTGGTCTGACTGCAGAAACGGAGGGACCAGGTATAAGTTGTTCAGAGGAGCCACTTACAGAATCAGATGAAGAAAGCCAACCATCTTCCTTTTTAGAAAAACAAACAATGTCCATTGAAAAGTCAAATGTCACAGAAAAGGGCTCTGAGGGACAGTTACAAGGTATAGAAGACTCCCATGCAGTTAAAAAGAGACTTGCAATGAGACTTAGCAGAGGAAGACGAACACCTATAGGATCATCTGATGAAGCATCCTCGTCGTTTGGTCTAAATAGCAAAGGTAGCACAGAGTCTGGCTATTTCTCTCGATCTGAGAGCACAGAAGTCTCTCAAGATAGTCCACCAAACACAAGTGCCAAAAGCTATGCAGAGGTCATCCTTGGAAAGTTTGGTCGCCTTGGTCATTTACAAAGGACTGCTCGTGAACAGTATGACAATCCTGCTGGGCAAGAAGGGAAAAGAATTCCATTCACTGTGCCTAAAAAGCAAGTTATTGACCACATAACTAAACTCATCACCATTAATGAGGCTGTGGTAGACACCAGTAAGATTGACAGTGTCAAACCCAGAAGGTTCTCACTTTCTAGGAAAAGCAGCACAGAAGTGAAGCCAACCTCTTCTAAAGAGTCCTTTCTTCACAGTCCAAAAGAATTAGATTTGAGTGCAAAGAGCAGTGGTTCTATTACTCTTGGTGTACCTTGTGAGAAATTTCAGCACCATTCTCTTAGTATCCAGCAAGCTGACCCAACCACCACTGCTCCTCTTCTAAGAAGTCACTCTATGCCCTCAGATGCAGGTGTTAGTGATGTGTCTGAAACGTCTCGTAGCCTTCGCCTTAGCCAATCCTTTGATGACCAGCAGTCAGTTCAGAATCGGCGTCATGGTATGCTAAGACGACAGCCTGCCATTGAATTGCCCATTGGTGCTGAAATGACCATGGAGGAACAATCCTATTCCAGATCACCATTTCATCCCTCAGTGCCAGATCCCAGCCAGAAACAAGAGTCATTTGAGTGTGATGCATGTGGAATAGTTTTTAACGACAGGGAGAGATATCAAACACACAAACAATACTGCTGCACGGTTCACATTTCTCAACAAACTGAAAGTCAAGTCTGTCAAGAGGAAGAGCCCACAAGAACACACACAAATCGTCCTGGTGCTTTTGCATTTAGAAAAAGAAGGAAAGAAGAAAGTATTGAACTTGAAGATCCTAATTTACCCTCTGTTTCTTATATACCACTGAAAGGATCTACACCATCTTGTGAACAGCCTATTAAAGGGACCACTGAATTGGGTCAAGAACATGGTACAGAAGGTGCTTTGAAAGGAATATCTGTCATACAGCATACTAGTTCATTTGAGAAACATGATAGTGCTTTAAAAACCTCTGGACCAGATGAGGTCTCACACTCTCATGATGTCTCTCACTGTTCTCCTTACTCACAATCAAAGCAGCAGGCAACTAAGCCTTCCTTCCGTAAACTTGTACGCCAACACAATGTCCAAGTGCCAGAAATCTTGGTCACTGAAGATTCAAACACCAACACCATAGCAGTATCATCCCCTCCAACTGTTCCTAAAATGAAGGAAATTGAAAAGGTCAGTGAGTTCCAATGGCCCCAAAGAAGTCCAACTTTGGCCCAACTTCCAATTGAGAAGTTACCGCCTAAAAAGAAACGTCTTCGTCTCGCAGAAGCTGCCCAGTCATCAGGGGACTCAAGCTTTGAATCAATGTCCCTGCCTCACAGCCCAAGTCAAGACAGTTGTGTGACTCATACCTCGAGTCGATCAACATCATTTGAAGAGGCGTGCAAAGGTGATGCAGATACGACACCAACTAGGAGATCAAGAGCCACTCATACTTTAACAATTCCTACAAATTCTCACCGAGAAATGAGGCGCTCTGCATCTGAGCAGGCACCCTATGTTCCTCAACATGCTAACCTTATTACGGAAACTCGCAGCAAGTCATTTGACTACAGTAGTTTGTCTCCAGATCGAACCCCTGCAGGATGGAGAGAACGGCGGAAATGCCTTCTAATGAGGCATAGTGCAGTGAGGGAACCTGCGGAGGAAGACCAATCTTCTAAAGTCTTCAACACCAGTTCTCCAACTAAAAGGACTAACACATCACCCAGCTATAGCCCAGGCACCTCCTACAGCCCAAACACCACCCATCGTGTGATGTTAAGCAATACTATTCACTCATTTGGTGAGAAGCAGATCATGCAATCACAGCATGTTTTATCAGAAAATACCCAGCAGTTTCATACTGACCAGCCCTCAGTATTGGGAAGTCTGCTTTGTGCATCAGGTGCTGCCAGAGCTCATTATTCTTCAATGTCGACAGGACTCAAGCTTGAAATTCCAGTGGAGAATGAATTGGTGAATTCTGATACAAGGGTCAATCAACCATACCTCACTCATTGTCACCATCAGAATATTGGTTTTGATGTTACTTCAAACCCAGAACTACTGAGACCTTTACCAGCCCAGAGAATTCCAGTCCGACTTAATTCACATCTTCCACATTATGCAGGCTCCATTTATACTACAGTTTCACAAACATTTGCCTCAAGTCCTCAGGATCCTTGCTGCTCTGGAGTCAGTTCAGTTGCAGTGGCCTCAAGGTTTGAAATCATGGACCAACAACCAATATCTGATGGACCTAAATCAGTAAGTGCTGGCGCAACCAAACGTGTGCTGTCCCCCAGAAGCAGTGAGGAGCTCAGCCCAGAAAGTGAGCAACAACAAAAACGAGTGAAAGAGGAGATGGACAGTCAGGAAAATGAAAGTGGAAATGATAAAGTTTTGATCGAATGCAAGAAGGAAGAAAGACTTGATGAGCAAAGTGTCATCTTCCCTATAGAACACAAAGAACCATCATTTCCGACTCTTAACACTAACGTTAATTTTAGCTGGTGCTATCTAAACTACATAAAGCCCAATCCATCCATACAGAGTGAACAACAAAACTCAGTCTATTCCTCATGGTGTACAAGTACCTGCAACCCATACCCTCCTGGCCTGACAAGCAAGGACATGCTAGCCCTGTTGCACTGCAGGCAGAGACATGCAGCACTTATCTACACCATGGCAGACATGTCACCCTCTCTTGACAGGAAGCAAGAAACACCTGACTCCCAAAAGCCTAACACGACTGAGGTAAATGTAACAACTCTTGAATTTATCTAGTCAATGCATGAAAATTCTTACATTTGCAGCTGTGTTTTGGAACATGGTTGCTAGTTCCTAGCTGCTCAAAGCTGGTCATTAGTTGTTTAACCAGCTACCATGTTCTCAAAACAGCTTGACCATTTTAAACTTGATTTTCTAACAGGAAGAATGACTGATATGCTAGATGACATTAATTTTATTAACTTGGGAGCTTATGTTTGTTTAGCTCAGTATTTTTAAATATATATGAGTGTTTTAGTCATTTAAAAGGTATTTTAATCTAATCAGTCCACATTCCAGTCTTTTTGTCTTTTGTATTTGTTTTTTTTTAACTTACACTTGACATGACAACGTAAAAGTAAATCAGTTCTAATGCTATCTGGAAAATGTTGAATGAGACTTCCCCCCATCTCTGTCTCCCTGGGCACCCGGAATAGGGTTGGTGAACTTGCCCGTGTCTCTCTCGAGTGTAGGTACATGCCACTCAGTGCACAGAAACGAAAGAAGCCCAGCAAGCTGAGTTGAAAGAGGTAGAAAAGAAAACAACAGAGGAGAAGGAGGATCAACTATCTACCTCCAAATACAGCTCACGGGTTCAGATTTGTGAAGGAGGGTAAGTCATACTAATATATAACACTTGTACAAATGCAGTGTGTAAAGGTGTGATGGTGTAGAGCCCGTCCACACGGAGACGCGTTTAGCTGTATACGTAAACATTTTGTATCGTATCTGCGTTTCGTTCAGATGGATCCGGCGTTTTGGGAGCCTGAAACCGCTATTTTTTGAAACCGAGTCCCAGAGTGGATAAATCTAAAAAAACACAACCTTGCGTTTTCGTGTTTACAGCCAATCCGTATATTTTGTGAAACGATGATGTCATCACCCCACATCTAGACCCTAGTCAGACAGCGCTACGTC